GGCACTATGCTAGTTAAGTACATATTTTTTATGAATATAAAGTTTCTCAAAGAATGTATAAAAGAAAATAAAGGTTATGAATAGAAAGTTTTGTAAAAATGAACATAAGAATTAAAAACATGTTTATTTTCCCAATTTTCCTCATGTTGTTCTCCAACTTCCTTCCTTCAGTTTTTTTTTTTTTTTTTCCTCTACAATTAGACTTTTCACATTTTTTTTAATTAGATCTTGAACATTTGACTAAGTGGGCTATTCAAGTTAATTAGGTTTTTAAGTTAAAACAAAAATAATGTAGATCAATTATGTAACAATAAAATGAAAAATTGATTTTCATTAGTTATTGAAGTACTTTTTTTTTTTTTTTTAATTTCTCAAAAAAAAAAAAAAGTGAAATGAGGGCATCATATAATCTCATTTTTTTTTGTAGATTTCATTCATGGTTTTTCAAGAAATTTCAATAAAATTATAGTACATGTTACTCAAAATTAATAGAGTATCTAACTATTCAAACAAAAGTAATATTGCCACTTAATATTCACATAAATTAATAGAGTATCTAACAATTCAAACAAAAGTATCTAACAATTAATATTCACATAAATTTACTTTTAATTGGGAGAATTTATTTTATTATTATTCTTCTTATTAAACATCCATGGTGATTTTCCAGATTAGTGAGAGAAAAAGATAGAGAGGAGAGAAAATCAAAAGCGTAGAAGTAAGTTTTCAGAAGTGTAAAAATGATTGATTTTTTTTTAAAACTTTTATTTTTTTAAAAAATATTAATATGCCGGTTGAACAAGGCAGAGCATGAAAAATTCGTGGGGTGGGTTGCGTTTTATTGGGGCGAAAATTTATGGGCTGTGTTTATAGTGTTGGATGCGAGCAAATTTTTAGCTGGTCCCAAGTCCAGCCATTTCTGGCTGGTCCCTCGTTTTGAAAATGAACATTTATAATATAACAAAAAGTGAACATTTTCTTGCTATAGGTTTTTTATTCTTACAAAATTAAATATTCATTTTCACACTATCAAATGTTCATTCTTATAATGTTAATGTTCACAATTTTATGTCATCGTCTTCCTCCAAATCCACCACCATTTTCTCTCTCCAAACTTTCACCCTAAAATAGCAGCACCACTACGAGCCACATCCTCCGCTATATCACAAGCAGTCACCTCTTGAACTCCGCCATTGACGTGAGAGGTGTTCACAATTTTTTTGTCATCGCCTTCCTCCAAATCCATCACCATTTTCTTTGTCCAAACCTCCAAATCTATTAACCTATACTAAAAGCAAATCCATTTATAACACTTGTCATTACCTTGTGAAAAAATTTCCCGCCTTTTTCACTTATCTCTTTTTTATTTTTTTATTTTTTTTTTGCAAAATCTTTTTTTTTTTATCCTATTCTATATATACCTAAATAAAATATTGCTGAATATCCCTTATATTTTGATTGTAAAAAATATTTAACAACCGTGCATTATTGCACGGAATTTTAACCTAGTTATATTATAATAAGACAAACAAATCAATCAATCAATCACTCATTCGTTTATCTTATATTTGTAATGAGATAACAAAGACTTTATATATTTTGTTGCATATTTTTGGTTTGTTTTTGTTATATAAATTATAGTGAATTCAAAATATATTTTATTGAATTTGATTGATTCCAAATAATTTATTACAAAAAGTTGATCAATATATTCCTAGCCAAAAATATGCCAAAAATTTATATAAAGTGTGTAAGTGATAAGGTTATTATTGTGTCTATAGATTTGATGATTGTGACGGGTAAAATAAATATTAGATTATATAGCGATTGAAGCACATTATATGACAAGAAAAAAAATTAGTTTTTCCTGACCGAGGATAGGAAATGAATCTGTCTAATTCTCTTATATATTTTTTTGATGCTTTGTTTATTTTCTCGTATATAGTTATGTGGAGCATTATTCATTTATTTTCAATTAATAAAACACCATTAAAAAAAAGGCGAATAAAATATTAATACAAATGCCAATGACATAAAATATTATTCAAATCACATTCCGTAATTTTTGTGTCGGCCATTACTACGACTGAACAAAAATTTTATAATTAAATTGTTAGTGAAAATGAGCCCTTTATTACTAATTAAATTATTTTTGGTTTTTTTTTTTTCCTGTGGGATTAATAATATGATTTATAAATCGTGCATCGCACGATCACTATGCTAGTTTCTTATAATTTTACAATGTCGCGATTTAGAGATATTTAGATTTAAAAAAAGTGCATTGGCAAACGTGAAAAGAGAAAGATGTCAACTAAAAAAATATATACTGTATTTTTTTTTATTAATTTTTTTTATTAAGGTTCGAATAAGTTAAACTTAACATATTTTTATGGAAAAACTGAAAAAAGCAACTAGAGGACGAGATGGAGCCATGGACAGAGAACAATTTAAATAAAAGTTAAAAATCCAGTTTGCCATATAGCTGTGTTATTGCTTATGTTGCTTTCACACCAAAAGAAAAGAAATCGGCCACAATCACATTGCTTATATGGTCGATATGGGTGTTGTTGGGTGATGCTTGTCTCTTCTATTTTCTCTACATTATGTATGTTGGATTCCTAAATTATTAGAATGTGACACTGAAAATAGATACAATCGACTAATCTTTTTCTTCCATAAAAATATCAAGATAGATCAAATCATTTTAATGGGTAGGGTATGGCTTCAAATAGTTGGGCTTAAGGTTAGATGTATTTTGAAAAAATCAATAAGTGTGCAACTTAATATGGAGAATTGAATGTGACAGCCAATGAAAGATCATATATCTAGCACCAATAAAATATTTTAATCTACTCTTTTTATTTCAACTAATTCTCAAGGGTTATGAAAGGGTTATATTGTCATTACATACTTATGCGACATAAACATTATTAATTTTAGTAGATGTTTTCTAGAGTCAAGCTGACACATTATAAGAATATGTTTACATACTACGAAAAACAAATAATAATCTTCTTTCAACTAAATAAATCAATGATAATAAAATCCACTCCAATGTCAACCAAAGATATTAGACATTGTAACAAATTAGGTATGGTAATAATTAGAAGAAAAAAAATCCATAATTACTGCATCAAACCCTTGACTTAAAAATTATAAGAATTCACATTCACATTAATAAATCAAGTACAAAGTAGACACCAAAAAGATGCAAAACCATATACAAAAAGGAGCAAGCTAGCTTAAGCATAAGGTAATTCTATTTTGGTTTTATGTAAATAAATCATATTTGCATGCGCCTTTAAACAAAAATAAGGCATGCTATGGACCCCACCTATAATATATGCATTGCAATAAATTTGAAAGAAAGAAAGAAAAAATGCGCATCAGAAGAGAGAGTGGGTTTGACAAGGCCCAAATAGCTGTCTATCATAAATATGTGCATGCGACGTCAGTACAGTGGCATAAAGACAACACTAACTTACACCAAACCTTAATTACTACCTCCAACCAATTATTTACCATTACCCCCTACACCTAATTTAGTAATCATACCATTTTCTAAATTTCACTTTTTTTTTTTTTTTTTGTTCTTGTTTTCTTTTTGAAATATAACTGTTATATTAGTTGACTTTATAATAGAGAAAGCAACATTGCAATGGAATATGGATTATTTGGATTGATTTTTGTTCGGTTACAATTGGGAAATGGTTTGGATATTGGATTGAATCCATTATGGCAATTCAATATACTCCCTCCGTCAGAACCAATTTGGGTTTTTTCACGGAAATTAAGAAAATAGGTGAAAGTACATAACTGCATGTGGAGTTAGAAAAAAAAAAAAGTGGCTGGTGATAATTGAAGAAAGGGAGAGAGAAAGTGTTGAAAATTAACGTAAAAAAATCATTATTAGTGCAAAAGAGTATTAACAACTCATCAAATAGTAGAGAATATTCTCAAATATTACAACCTTAAAATAGGAATAAGTCCTTAATTAAATTTACCAAAAAAGGGAATACAAGTCCTTAATAAAAGGACAAAGGGAGTATTGATTTTATTGAAATAAGATTTTAGTGATTTTTTGGGAAATGAAAACCAACCCAAAAATAGGCCATGGACTTTGATTAAATTGTCAATTCAACTTATTGAAGTCAATGGTAAAGTTCCCGTTAGATTTAACTGAGTTAGGTAATTTTGAATCTAAGACATTGTAACCATTGTGCTATACAAATCTAATTTTGAATCGGTTATGGGTTAGGTTGGATCGTCTCAAATGGAGTCAATTCTGTGAATCCTCCAAACTTTGATCCGCCAAAATGAATGAATGCCTTGATTCAATTATAAAGCATACTAGTTATCTTTATGTTACACTCATTTTGACTAGCCAAATTTGCCCAAAAGTGGCTTAATTTTCTTGAAAAGTAAAGGCACATATTTTTCTATTAAGTGAAAGATTATGGTATTGTTTGGTTAACAAAAACATTGAAAATCACACTTTTTTCAAACTGAAATAAATTACTTACCTAAGAGGGACCTAGGTTATCTCTTGCTTCCTAATTTCAAAGTAATTTTACTTCTTATGTTCAAGTATTCAACCAAACAATCACTAATAGAAAAATTCTATTATTAGTCAATCCAATCCTTAAAATATGCCATATGAAGACTTGTGGATTGAATTGCATCTTTATATCATGAGGTGTTGGCAAAACTTACCAACTAATTATAAGGTCCCAAGTTAAAAGATTACACTTACTATTAATTACCTAAAAGTCTTGGACTTCTAGAGAAGCACCTAATACCACCACCACCGTCCTAAAAGAACTTTGTTTTTCTAATTACCACAAACCATGCATAAGTTGAGTTGCCACTATGAAGTTCACATGACTCAAACAGTAAAAAAAAATGCACACCATTAATTCAACATACACACTAACACACACCCTTCTTTAATTAAGAAAAGTTGCTTTAAAACACACCATAAAAACCATAATCACAAAACATAAAAGAAATCAAAAGGCACTTATATTACATATTTCCAGGGTCTTACTTCCCATTCTAAACATTCAAGTGCAAATACCCCACACTAATTTTATAAAAGCAAAAGAAAAAAAAAAATCATAATAATAATAATAATAATAATCATAATAATAATACTAACAAACATAGATTGATTTAATATGGATTTTAATGATGAAACACATCAAAAGGCCAACTAGCCTCTCCTCGTGCCATTCCTACCCATTAAAGTGATCAGTCTAATGACCCCACCCTCAAATAATATTTTTGCATAAATTTATATGTTACTCCTTTATTTTTTAAAAATTAAAAAAAAAAAAATAGACAGCAAAAGTTAACTGCTGGGTCCCAGACCAAAGCCAATATGGGGCGTGCGTTTTCTGATATGGAGATTTTAAGGGTCCATCTTTGAATCATTGAAGTCTTCAGTCCACAAGTGAGAAAAAGGATTAACTTCTTCAGGAGGCTAAGAACAGAGGATGGATTCCCAAAAAGCTACTCACTACATTTTTGGAGCTTCTATAGGCCAGATATTCCTAAAGATTTGGCTTTGTATCTTAGAGTCTTGAGATAATTGATGGCTTCATCTAACACCACTACTGCGTCTTTCCCGTCTCCGCCCGGGATTATGGTCTGTAGGATGCTCACTGTCTCGCGTATTTTCTCCTTTCGGTCTCTCTTGTTGCCGGAGAATGAGTGTGTCGTGTTGCTGTATGGCCTCGTGGGTTGGCCACCTGCGCAGATAGATTCTGCATCGTCCTCGTACTCTGATGATGATCCCTTTGGTACAAGGGAGCTGGCGGCGTATGTAACTGAGGGAGCTTCGTCACTGCTGTCTGACAGTTTCTGCCTTTTAGAGGGGCCGGCAGAGCTTGCCACTTCGTCCATGTCTTCGTTATCTTCGTACCAATCCTGCTTCTCGTAAGCAGTCATCGTGCTAGGGGAACGCCCTGTGGATGTTTCTTCACCGTCACTGTAACAACCTTCGTCGTCTGAGGAGAGCAAGGCATCGATATCTTCTGAGTCTTCATGCATCTCACCAATCTCATTATCATCGTTCAAATCATCAGTCAAATTAGGTCCTGAATAGAACGGTCCATTGCTTCCATCCCCAAGCTCACCCTCGTTAACATTATTGTAGTAACAAGATGATTTTTGGTTCCAAGAGTTGAGTGGCTGGTTTGAAGCACCAACCATAGAGCTTAATATCAAGGTTGTTTTGTTGCCCGTTCGATCAAAAACAAGAAATTGCTTTTGAGCACGTTGTGCATCAGTGGGAGACACATTAGTCTCCACATGATTTTCAATAGCAGCTGCAGAAGCCTTGCCAGTAAAACCAATTTCTGGCATGAACTTATCGTGAAGCGTCATATCTGGAACAAGACCCTGCCTAAATCGGGGCAAGCAATAGAACCATCCATAAGGTTCCTTCGATTGCCCGACCTTGAAATCGTGAGGCCCTGAATATCCAAACGAAGGTAAAGCACCACTCACAGGAGCTGCATTAGTGCAAGGCATTGCACAAGGGATGCCCGTGTTTTGCATCCCAATATCAAATGGCAGTTTCAAGGATTTAGCATTAGGAAACTGCGTATCCGGTTGCCGTTGATGTAACCAGGACTCCAAGTCCTTTTCCATCAACCCAAACAACTATCTGCAGATTGAAGCAACAATAATTGATTAGTTAAAAAGAAACATAATGAGTTCAACAAAGATGAGACAAGCTAGTGATCAAGAACATACCACAACAAAAGCGAAATGAAAGCCTCGCTTTGTGATTGCTTGTAGAATTATCGAAGATGTAGTAAAACCTAAGAAACCCAGCTGAACTAAACCCCCAAAATACAGAACTAATTTCTTATCTACGTTACTGGCTTGAGCAAATGACGAAAGTATTCGGCCTGAAAAATCCCAAATCAATAGCAAAATATTAGACACCACATTCATGATTCATGATCAAAAGCTTCAATTTTCCAAGAAACACAGCAATTTCAAAGCAAGCTCCAAACTTTATCATTCAATAAACCAAACTTCATTATCAATCGATTACAAACCGCATTTTTCGATAAACCAGACCATATTATTAACTAATACAATAACTCTCTGCTCCTGAACATTATTCATACAACTAACTACTCAATTTGGTTAATTCCAATGTCACAAACTCAAAACAAATTAAGTTTCAATTCCCATTTTTCAAACATAGATCAAAATATGCACAGTCAAATGTTATATTAATGTAAAATCAAACTCAAACATCAACATCAACATCAACAACAACAATGACAGGGGTAAGTCCAGAACGAATAGTCGCGTTGAACTAGTAATGTGACGACTAAAAACAAATAACGAATACAATGAAAGCAAGTAAACAAGAAAAGAAGAACAAACCTGACAATTACGCAGAGGTTGGAAACAAGCAATGACTCTAACTATGATGGTAGCAAAACCAGCAACTCCATTTTCGTGTTTCAAAGCCCGAAATCTTGTCTGACTAGCTGCTTGGCACACCATAACTACTACTCCAACCCCCTTAACCCACCCTTTAAACCTTTCTTTTAAGGAAAGGAACCCCAAACAATTCTAAAATTCCCAGAAAAAATTCGAAAAGAGAAATTAATTTAGCTGATCCAGCGAACGTAGCAGGGGATGACGATGAAGAAGGTTGAACCCATGTGGTTATTATTGGTAATTGAGGTGAAAAAAAATTAGGGTTTTCTGGAAAAATAAAAATTGGGGAAAATTGAACTGAGGGTAATTGATTTACAGAATCACACGACAGTATAAATTCAATGAAACGACTTTCCGAAACACATCTACTGATAAGCAAAACCACCGCATGTTGTTTTACACTGATCAGCCACTTTTTTCTACTCAAATTCCTGCAAAAAAAATTACAAAATTTAGGCAAAATTATGATCAAAGTTGTTTTCTCATGAAGATAATCTGAAAAAAAAGATATGAATTTTTTTTGAGGAGGAATTACCAGGGAAAATCTGGGAGAAGCTTATCCAAGAAGAGTGAGAAATGAAAGAGGAAAGAAGAGATTAGGTGAATTTAAGAGAGAGAAAGAGAGGAGTGATAGTTTGAGAGAGAAAATGCACAGATGAAGAGAGAATGAGGGGGATGAGGGAGAAAAGGGTGTGGTTTTATAGAGTGAGATTTTTACGTATTTGTCCTTGTTCAAACGTGTGGGCTGTACTCTGCTTTTGCCGCTATGCGGTTGCGCTGTTTTGTGTGGGGATGTTCCATGAGCTATATTTCTAATCGATAGACTGATAGTCTCTAAGGACTTGTTCTATTCGGCTTTTTTTTTTTTTTTTTTTTTTTTTTTTGGGGGGGGCAAAGCTTAATTTCAGTTTAGTTCATTTCATTTTACTTCAATTCAAGTTTCTAATTTCCTTCTCTCATAAACAATTCAACTCCATTCAATTCAAGTTTCTAATTTCCTTTATTTTCTAATTTCCTTCCCTCATGAACAGTTCAGTTCATCTCCAAGCAGTTCACTTCACTTCACTTCAATAGTTTTCAGTAAATCGGAACATGCCCTAAATGTTATTCTTATATTTGACTATTTTAGTCAGATGCTTGTAATTAGTTTAATTTCTAAATATTGTGTAAATTGGGCGAGTTGTTGGAAATAGAGGGAGTACACGAGAATACGGACACTATAGAGTGAGTAGAAATGTATTTCATATGAAGTATTTGTACACCCTTACTTTTGTTTGCTACAAAGATATGAAGTAATGTAGAAGCCATTAATCTCTTTGTTAAATTGTGACTCGTAATCTAGTAGGGCTGACTTTGAACGCTTATATCTCTCAAACTACAACTGATTTTGAGGTGATTCAAGTTGGAGGTGATACTTGGTTCAATAGCTTTCCAACGATAGGTCATATGCCCAATTCCGATAAGAAACGAGAAAATTATGACCGTTTTACAAAAACCTGACGAAGCTGGAAATTTGCAACAAGGCTGCGAGCTATAGCTCTATGCGAGTGAGCTATAGCTCGGCCCTATGAGGACTTGCGACAGGCATGAGCTAGCTGCCGAGCTATAGCTCAGTAGTTAGCTTATTCTTGGATAATTTATGGAATATTTCCTAAAATTATATCTTTTCTATGACGGCTATTTGAGTATACTTGGGGAACAATCTTAGGGTTTTATTAGGGTTTCCTTATGTTATAAAAGGACCCTTTAGTTGATCAATTAGATCATACCTTTCGAGCCATTAGATTTAAGACTCCTTGTATTATTCTCTTGTTTATTTCTCCATTATAGTGAAGAAGCTCTCGAATCCCCCACCCGTGGATGTAGGTTTATTTTGACCGAACCACGTAAATCCTTGTGTTCTTTGTTTATCTTCTTTATTGTTTTTCTCGTTCTTAATTTCATTGACTTGTTCCGCATTAATCAAACACAATTACACCCTAATTTCCTAACACTCTTGTTATTTACCGAGCTAAGCTTGATTTAGTGGCAAAGTTTGTATCTTACAAGTAATAGGTTGTGACATTAAACCCCACTAGTAATACTCTGGGTGTGGAATTCCCTTACCCTTCCCCTCTCTCCCTACTCCCAACGAGTCTAGCTCGTTAACCCGGGACAGGGGGACCTATGAGAGGTTCCAACCCGATAGGGTCTTTCACCTTACCAAAAAAAAAAAAAAAAAAAAAAAAAAACTCTTGTTTCTTTCTATTGTTGGTGAAATAAAGAAATTTATAAGCATGCACTTTCTATATCTGTTTTCGTTAAAATAATATTATAATTTAATTTTGCATACCATTTCAATTATTTCAACGTTACAAAATACTTTTATATGCTTCAAAAACTAATACTTTTATTTAATTGCAACAAAAAGAAAAAAAAAAGATTCTGCTTATGCAAAATACAACTTTACAAATTAATTTTGAATAAAAAATCATTTATGTTGATTACATGACTTTCTCATTGTGTTTTTATAAATTAGGTGAAAAGTATAAAAGAGAACTTGTTTTTGCATATGAAAGCCCTAATTTGTTGCTATATAGATTTAACAATATACATCAACGCAATGTTTCATCGTAGAAATTACAAATCCACTCTTACGATAGTGTTCTCTTTACCAGAATTTCACATATATTACCTAAACATATTATTCTTTAACTCAAATTTGTAAAACTTAATACCCTATTTATAGTTATATTATTAATTTATCTATTGTAGACTTACGGTGAATTATGTAAAGTTGTTTTTTTTTTAAAAAAAATATACATTTATATTATCAAAATTGATTTTAATTGACTTATTTGAACTTAATCGGACCTTATTAGTCTCGTCAAAATTAATATGAACTTATTTTACTTTGTCTTATTAACTCTCATATGATTTTTTTCTTTTTTAATCGAAATAAGGTTATAACTGAACAAAAGCGATCTTAATATGTAAACCTAAAATAGGCGAAGATGTAGCAATGAGAACAAAATCTAATTAAGTAGAGAGTTATGAAAAGCATATTATATAAATGAAATTTAATCATCAATTGTTGGTTTTACAAACTCCTAAAGCCTTTAACGATCTAAGCTAGTACTCCGCATAACATTTGTTTTTGCGTGGTTAGACGTGGTTCAAATATTCATATATTGAGTACCATCGTTGAAGGCTTCAACCGATCAACTGGTTAACCAACGAATACAATTGGCGTAATCGGTAGTATAAAATTAGAATATATATATATATATAATTTTTATATCACAATAAGACAATTAGATGTATGCACTACCTACTCTACTCTTTTTCTATTTCTATTTCTGTTTCCTAATACATGTTCTATAATAACACAACTACACAAGCAATTATGAACATGATTTCTTTTTGATATATAAAGATTATAAACCCATAATTTTAATCAAAAGCTAACAACATATATGAAAAATGATGACTTCTTTTCTTTTTTTGACTCCTTTGCTAATATACTAAATATAGTGGTATGGGAATAAAGCAACCAAAACCAACTCAATGTCATCCATGAAAATTGGTCTAAGCATATAAATTTTTGTGTAGACCAACAAAGAATTAGAATAAGAATATGTATAAGAAATTCTTTATAATGAGGAAGAATCCGATGTGTTTTTAGTAGAAAGACCCATGATTTAGGCTTGACTGTTCAAACCAAAAATCATATAAACACGATTGAGGGACCCACTAAAGGCTAAAAACACTAACACAAGGCAAAGGCACATCATATCTCTAACCTCACACTTTCACTAGACTCGTGTTTTTGTTATTCTTCCATCTTATTTCATGAAATTTTTGTGTTTATGATATTTTGGTAAACTAAAAACTTTTCAAGGATGGATAAAAAGGCCTTATTAGTCGCCAGCTTTTTGGTCCCAACATATATAAATTGCACAATTACACTTTCCATTGATGTGATTTTTGTTTTTGTATTGGAGTATATAATCTCCAAGCCACCTAGAAGTGTACAAGGGATTCTCATATGGTGGTCGACTTAGGGATTTAGCCATTTAGGTGACTTTTGAAACGTAACGTGTATTGGCAACCAATTTGATATACGGAGTACCATGTTTTGTTTCGGATTTGAGTTATAATATATGTATAATTCACAATAAATAGAAACAGTTAGATATAATTTTGTAAATAAATAGTGAATTTTAGAAAAAAAAAAAGTTGTAAATTTAAGGGTTAAAACTTCAAAGCCATGAATTACCAATCAACAATACAATATGCCAATTAAAGTAATAAAGAAGATTTTTTTATTATCATTTTGACTAAATCCTTTTTAGAAATACCCTATCTTCCAAATTTTACCAATGAACTTTATATGATTGTACACATTACATCAATTTTGTAAAAGAAAAATAAAAGTGAAATATTTAATCTAGATTGGAAAAGTAAAACAAAGTAGAATATTAAGACATATATGCATATATATAGCCATTAACTTTGAAATAATAAATCCATGGAAATTGATAAAATATTAAGCATAAATCAAATACTTATCAAATTGATTGATGTGTAATTTTGTCATACATTTACAAATTAATTATAAAATACTCCGTAATACTTGTATATTATGTTAGGTTGTTGTGTAAATTATAATCATAAACTAATTAATAAGATGTAAAACTAATTATAGAAAATACGTAAAATCGACTATGTATATTACGAGTATATCTATTTGACTATTCCACAATTATTGATTTGTTTCCAATATACAAGTACTAGGTGTATAATTTTCCTCTTGTTAGAAGGATCTCTTAATAATATTCCGATTTTCCTCGCTTTACCCTCCAAAACATGATGCTCGAGAGAGTGAGAGACCATATAAACAGTACTCACTAACCTAGTGCTCAATGCACCACCCCAACCTCATTAATTACTTCCTATTAAATGGAACTAACGAAAAAAAAAAAGTTAAAAAAAAAAAAATTTGGTGAACACAACTGTACACTCACATGTTGGCAATCAAATGCCTTCAGAGTGCAGACCCAACCCAAAACTTTCATAATGGATAAAATCCCAATCTAATCTAACCTTTCTTGGAATTAAATTAATCCAAAAGTAACCAAAAATATAAAATTTTACTACCACTTATGATGTCACAAAACTTTACATTAATTTATAACAGTGGATAATCATACACTATTCTATATTAATTCATCAGTAATAATAATTATTATATTAATTATTTAAATGAACTTTGTAAAAGCACAAAAAAGAGGTTAAGGCCTTAAGGGCACACCAACAAGCATGTTGAACCCAATCACCGTACAAAAATAAAAATAATTAACAATAGGGGTAGACCATGATTCTATCACCTGAACCATATCTTATACACAGGTAATAAGATCTATGACCCCCAATAATTAATGTAACCCTAAGTTTAATTATAATATAAAAACTTTGATTAATTGTATATACTATGGTATCATGCCTTATTGTTTGGAGTGAAGGGAACAATTAAGCCCTAATCAAAGATTTATCTATCTTCTTTGCTATATATTGCAATTGGGTCTTCCTTTTTGGTAGCACTAACTTCATTTATATGGGTGAGATGTAAAGCAAAGGATGGGATCTCTTCTTAAGTACACGCTTAATTTTTAATTCTTTTTGTAATCATGCTTATGTATTTACGAGTATTATATACACTTGAATTTCGTTAATTGGATTTTTTTTTTATTTATTTTGTATATTGGAAAATTGTTAATACATTGAATATGATAATGTAAGGAACAACAAATAAAGTTTGATCACTTTAATTAGTGCGACAATCCATCCCGTGGTGTTTATATAGATTGTTTAATTGAGGTTATTTGCACAATATCATCACACTTATGAATGGTTGTGGATTGTTCACTACTTGATTAAAGTTGGAAGTTTGTTTTGGTGCAAGCTTAACATTATTGAGTAGCTTAATAGTTATTAACCAATGGGTAAAGAATATTCATGATATTCATATGAATATGCACATTCTCTCATCAATTATATGACATTTTTGTTTTGTTTTGTTTTGTGAGAAAAAGATTAATACATTCTTAAATAAATATAAAGCTTATTCCAATTTACTTACTC